CCAGACGCTACGCGGTTTGCGAGCACATAGCGAAGACGTGACCGGAGAAAGCCCCTGTGATGTTCCCGATTCGTAATCGTTGTGTGTGCTCTGAAAGCGAAGGGAGTCACAGGGTCCATGAGTGCGCAACCAGAAGCCAAGGTTCACGACAGCGCTGCGTTGACTTCGGTGATCTCGTTCGGTTTGGTGCAACACTGCGAAGCGACAAAGAGCTGAAACGTTCGTGGTGTATGTGCTGCGGTGCTTGGAAGTAGACACCTACACTAACACGGAGCGCAAATTGGTTGTTGTGGGGTTCAAGTTCAACGAGTTCAGTCCCGTCGTCGTCAGCTGATCCAGTAAAACTGGTCCGGGAGGACGCAGCAAGCGTTTCTAAAAGTAAATCTTCCCTCGTTCCGCTGCAAAATGTGGAAGATTCCCGACGCATACCGTGAATAAAAAGCTGCGGGCGTTTTCAACAAAATTACGTCCTTTTAATTGAACAATGGACTCCGAACTGTTCTCCTAAATCTGCAGTTTTTATGCTTCGTGTTGTTGGACTGCGTTTGCACAGCGACGTGTTGCGCTCATCGTGCGGTGTGAATAAATTTGTGCAAGATTTCGTACCTGCCCACAGATGCATGAACTGAGACCATTTTTTACGTAGTGAACATAGTGCTTTTTTATTTTTTAAGCTGTCAATCAAACTCTTAGCCAATGAGAAGTATAGCAGCCGATTGGTATAAACGTCACAGAATCCCAACTTCGTGGCGCGCGATTTAAAACGGACGGAAGAGCCGCAAACTAAAATTAGTCTCACGCAAAAAATGTTGCTCTAAAAAACTTTTTTTCTCACGGAAAAATTGTTTCTTGACATGCTTGTCCCAATTAAGCTGTTTAAAAGAAGCTTTTTTTTTCTTTGCAGTTATCTTCTAAAAGTACTTCCAACATTGTATTCTCTACACTTCGTAGTATCTAACCATCTGTTAAAAAGGATATTTTGTTGAGCAGTTTTTTTCCTATCGTTCCTCCAAACAAAGGCAGGCAAGTTTTAATTAGCTTGAGAACAATTCTTCTGACTGAGAAAGTTACCAGATATATGAAATCAGTACTAAAAACTGAACAAGCTTGTACAATTTCATTCGGTTTGGTCGTAAAATAAGAAAAAAAGCTCCAACACCAGTGTTCCCCCCTTAAACCAAGGAGACTGGGGTTTAGAAAAAAAAAGATGGAATGAATAAAGTAATTAGAGTTTAGTTTTAATCAAGTTCTAATTAGTTTCATCCGGACGCTCTGAAAAAGTAAGCAGGAACTCATCCAGAAGGTTGCCAACTGTTATTCATTGTGTCGACATATATATCACGAAATAGCGTAGCATTAGTTCTATTCTAGACATACACTTGGGCGTGTGCAAGTTGAAGAGTGCAACCACCGCTAATTCCTGGTAAGAGGGTTATGTCAGTGGAAAGAACTAAATCCAACGCAGCAGCCATACTATCGGTAATCTGAGTTGGTCTACTAACAAGATGCCAAAAAAAGCGAAAGCAGTTTGCAACTTCCTGTAACGCCGAGTCGGAGCGCAGCTCTTGAGGAGGAGGAGTGGAGGGTGTATTCCTCCTCCTCCCTCGTGATCATGCCTGCTAGTCCTCCTCCCCTCCTGCTCCCCCTCCCTCTCCTTTACCCCTCCCCCGAGGTCACGTGACCCCCCCGGATCATACTAGACAATGAGGGGAGGAGGAGGAGGGCAGAGGTCCGGGGGGTCACGTGACCTCGAGGGGACGGGATAACATGACCTTGGGCGGGCCGTCACGTGACCGGCGGGGGAAGGGGAGTCATTCCCCCGGGGTCACGTGACCTTGGCGGGGGAGGAGGGGGAGATGGAGGAGCGGAGGGGGAGGGGCGACGCCGACGCCAACGCCGACGCCGCACAGGCTGGAAACGGGTCATGTGACCCCCTCCCCCCGAGGTCACGTGACCCGCCCGGACCATACTACACAATGAGGGGACGAGGAGGAGAAGGAGGGGGAGAAGGAGGAGGGGAAGGAGGAGGAGGAAAGGAGGAGGAGAGGGAGGGGCGCGGTTACGCCTACGGCGACGCCAACGGCGACGCCAACGGCGACGCCGACGCCGCTCAGGCTGGAAACTGGCCCCTAAGAGCTGCGCTCTAAAAATATTCGGAACAGAGATCAAGGAAATGACTATACGGGTAACCTGCAAAGTATATAATCTCTGTTACGTCACGGCGCGGTGGTGGCGCGTCGGGCGCACTTCCGGTCTGGGGCTGTCCGAGACGTGTATTCCTGCGTTGTTTTGAAAGGAACCGGACAAAAGCCTGCCTTCTCGTCAAAACGCCGCGACTGGGGCCAAACCAAATAAGTCGAGAAGAGTTTGAAGGTTAGTTTTCATGCGCTCGGCTCGTCCGAGAACGTGGATATGTGCCGTGAAAATGAAAAACCAGACGCCGTCGGACCGCGATTGCTTGGGCAGGAAGCACTTTCGGTTGAATTCACGGATACTTGTTGTCGTCAGATTTTTTTGTTTTGTTCCAACATAAAAAAATTAAAACTGCGCAAGGACACGGACAACAACAAGAAGGTAGACGAACAGCGCCTTGTTCGTCTACCTTCTTGTTCTTGCCCGTGTCCTTACGCTGTTTTAATTTTTAATCATGAAATACCAACTAGCCCAAACTTCTACGTTTGTTCCAACATGAACGCCGGAAAACCGTCAAGTTGTACGGACCACCGGGGGACTACGTTCAGTGCATCTTCAACTTCTAACAGCCGCCTGATCGATTGAATTGTTGTCTGCTCTTTTAAACGCTTCTCCTTGTCGTCTGCTCTTTTAGACGACACCGGCCCGTAGATCAAACGTGGGCCCGGTACTTGCAATAAGAAGTAAGTGCAGGCCCCAAAAGACTTAAGTTCGATGGTTGGTAAGGCGGCTCGATGTAAACTGTAGATACAAGGAAATGTTGATCATTGTTAATAGTGGCCATCACCGACATGTTATGCCTGATTCACTTGGTCCGATCCTGCTTGCGATATTCAGTATCGACGTCTACCATCTCAACTACGGCTCACGCTTTTGCAGCGCGAGCGACGTCGCAACTGAAAATTGTAAGAGTAATCTCATTATGCGAATGAGGCTTAGCGCACATTCTGCGGCGTCCACGTGGAATGAATCGCCGCCTGTCACATTATTCACGCGAAGTTTTGCGGTGTAACGAGCCTCGGTAATTTTGGTGAGGCCACTCAAGTAGTCAGACATTGCCACGAAGACGTAGGATCGACAATTCGAACGCAAAAAAGGGCAAGGAGACTCACACCGACGCCGACAACATCGCATTTCAATGGTTTGTTTATGGGCGACGGTGAGCTTCTTGCCCACACTCCATTGCGCATGCCCGGCGCGGGTGGCGTCCGCTAGAGGCGCTCCGGTTTGTTTGTAAACATGCGTTGGTGTATATTACGACATCTCAAGTCCCATTTTCAGTGTTGCCACTGCTCGGATCAAATTAAAAATTTGAATGAAACGATCATAAAATACCCGGAAAGCGCCCACCCCACATTTCACCGAAAGTTGTGTTAATCTAGACGGGGGCCCGGTCGAATCGGGCAGTTAACCCATAATTTGCAGAATTGACAAGTTTTGGAAATGTTAATAGTAGACGCCAGGGTCCCTGAATGTTCCCAGAAATCGCTTCAGAACCCTATTGCGCCGCAGCAGTCGCAATCCCCAACATAGCGCTGCCCTATGCGGTACAGCGTAACATTCCTTCTCATGCAAGCTCTTCAATCAAAGTTGCTGGCCTGTGGTGATGCTGGTTTGTTTTTAGTAAAGATCTTTCCTTCGTCGCGAGCAGTGCGTGACTTGCTCCTCGCTGTCTCTCTCTCGCCTCGAAACACACCCAAGTCAAATGTTAGGCTTAGTGTCAGAGGTATCGAGTTTGAAACGCATTACCAGAGCAACCCGAGCGAGCAAACGAGGCGGCAATCTTCTTTTGCAAACCAGATAAGCGGCTACTCGATATAAAAAAATTCCAAAAAAAATTGACGCACCTTTCATTCGGTCTTAACTCGTCGATGCTGATAACTTCCCGCACGGGTTAAACCAGCCATTCAGAACTGCATTTTCCGGGGATTGACTTCCACTAAGCGGAGGGAATAAAATTCCGTACTCTGGGAACGTTGGGCGACTCGAGTGGGCACTTCAACCAAGTCGTTGCTTCCGCGGTATTTTACGCTAGTTCAGATCAATGTGTCTAGCCAATTTTGAGGCAAATCCCTGCATATCAAAATTTTTCCCGAATTAACATATTTTGTTACATTCAAAAACATTTTTTTGTTTACTATTTTGTATAAATGTGGGAAGTTGTTTTACAGAAACACGCTACTGTACAACCTATTTTTTTACAAAACTAGAAACTTTTGTGCGACAGTCCGGCCAATCTATTTAAGACGTCAAACCCCCACATTTGGTCAGAAGTACGAAAATTCACCGAACCGGGCAACCCCCAGGACTGAACTCAATTGCCGAGTTCTCCGGCCTATAGACTACTCTGAGCTCCCGGAGAATAGAAAAAGTGAGCAAAGAAAGTAGCCTATGAAGCAACTGTATACTGTCATTGATGGCGATCCACCACCGCTGTGCCTGTAGCCCAATCTTATGCTGGAAACTAAAGCACTGTATCGTAAGTCAGGCAAACGCACAAAATAAAGCGGAATTCTCAACCCTAGATTATTATGACCATTCCAACAGAAAGGCAACAAACATTGCAAATGTCACGCTTTTGCCACTACTTGGCTGACGCAGTCGGTATGTAGCGTTGACAGCACTTTCCATCAGAAATAGAGTCGAAAGAGTTTTCTTGCATTGCGAACAGGAACTCGTATTCCTCATCGAGCATCAACTCAATGAGGACAGCCTCAAAAATGTACATAATGGCAATACTTTCGGATCAAATCTAGTTGAGACAACTCTCGTTCGTTTCTGCTAGACGAAGCAAAAGGCATACGCACCTGGCCGTAGGCAAGGACCGTGACATTGTAGCCGTCGAAGCATCTGCAACGGATCATCACACACTCGTCTCACCTGTGCATCGAGAAAGCCCAAAAAGCTACACCACGTTCCCAAGAACACACGTGCGAAACAAATCTAGAAGATGAACGGTGGCAGCAGGTGCCCGAGCAAAACTTCGGGAGGCAGTCGAGTTCTGCGCAAGCTACACGCCCCAAAAATCTGCTCTCCTACATTCCCCCAGCGCTCCCTGACTACCCGGACTCCCCGACCTCACTGAGCTCACGTCCCTCTCAACCTGAAACTCGCGAGTTTTCGAGGCCTACGAACTCACTCACCCTCACCTCAGGCCTCAAGGGTGAGAGTGAAGTAGGTGAGTGACTGCCCAACTCGCAACCCTCACTCCCACTGAGGCACCCCTCCACTTCCTCAAAAAAGGCGCGAGGGTCGGCGCTGGCTAATTGCGAGAAGCCACCTATCAGTCGTTGGATGAAGGAGTATAAAGGACGGGTGAACAAAGGAGTACAAAGGACAAGAGCATCGGAGGCTGCGACACCTCTCGCGGCTACTTACATTTTGGCGAGACATTAAACCAGCAAGCGGGTCAAGAACGTTCCATTGGTTGACACACAAGCTGCGGTACGTCCAATGAGCAGCCAAGAGGAGCCGGAGGGAAGTCTCACCCTTCGACCAGCGCCTTGACGCAGGTGTCGTAGACCCGCTCCTGGTGGGTGGGGCAGTCGAAGACGTGGTCGAAAGTGAACGCCTTGTCCTTGCCCACCCAGATCTGGGGCTCCCCGGAGGCCACGCTCGTGCAGGCGTGGCACATGTCGATCCCCTCGCGCGGGATCAAGGGCCGCACCCTGCGTCAAAACCCAATTTCGCATCAAATTTTAAATCTAACACCGTCAATAGGCTGAAGATAGTACAAAGGGATTGTCTTCGGGCAATATAATGGCCTCAGTTAGCGACTTGCTTGAGATCCCACCTACCAAACCTTAGTACCAGAAATGCTCTTACTGAAAATTCTACCAGACAATTTGTGGCATAATCAACACTAACCGGGAGAAGCGAGTAGAATTTTCTGCCCAATCCAACATACAAAGCCAACATGAGTACTATGCCACGTAATATTCATTTTTCCCTCCTACTTTCAAAAACTGGAATAACCTACCAGTTGAAGTAACACTCTAGTTTGTTCGCATGCTTCCAAAGATGCGCCGCTGTCAATGCGCCGGGGCATAGACACAAGGTTTCGTTTTCCCAGTGTGCACAATGTATGCGACAACGTAAAACCTGGGCGCAGCAACGACGCCGTTTGCGCCAAACCGTAGACATCCTGGTGGAAAGATTGGCTCTTCCAAGACTACAGTACGGAGACCGTTAAGCAAACGTAACTATGGAAGGATGGAATTCCTATCCTTCGCCGACTCAGAACCCCTGCACTAAATGCTAACGCATTTCGTCGAAAATCAGCATAGCGACAGCAACGATTTCGTCAGTTTTTTTTTTTTTTTTTTTTTTTTTTTTTCTTTTCGCACATGTATTATCGCTATGCATTTGGGGCCACTGTCGATTGTCTGCGATGTTGGCCATGTATTTGTGTATCGTTATTTATGCACCCCTCCAACGGTCTTGAACCAGAAGTAGAATCTACCGCAGCGGTCTCCCTCATTTGAGAGTGGGGGCCAGATGGCCCACCCGAGAAAGGTCAAGGGCCAACATAAGCCAGGGGGGAGGTTTTCTGCTCTCTGCTTTTTGTAAACCTGCGATTTTTCCAATCTTTAGCTTTTATTTGTTTATAGGACTATTTAGGCCCTCGCATGATGTGACCACAAAAATTAAACTAGCACCGCCCCACCATCGTGCTTTTAGTAGAATAAGAAAGAAAACCGTCGTTCCCGTTGCTCCATTCACACAAAAGTCAATTTAGCTTCTTGTCTCCAAAAAAAAATATATATCTTCATACGACAGTTCTTGCTTTCCTGACAAGATCTGCAGCAGCAGTCTGAAAAATACTCCTATTTTAATGGTGATATTTTCTGAATGTGAGAACCCTGAGCAGCTTTATCTGTGAGAGCTGATCCTGCCGAGACAGAGTTTGTGTAGCCAAGCACTTGCAGCCTAGAAGCAGAATATACCTTTATAACTTTTGCTCAAATATTCAAAGTAAACAACGGTATTAAGACCTTGACGAATGCGCATTTGAAGTGCCCTTTGTATTGGATTTTTACTTTAGAAGTTACTGCTGCAGAAGGAAGTATGCGCAGCATATGTAACTACACTCCCCTTGAGCTTCGGTAATTTAGCAAAGTCTATTGTCCTGCAAGTGGTTTTATAATGAGAAAAAGCTGAGAAGCAGAAATTGAAACAAAACACAAAGCAAAAAAAAACACAATAGTGCAAAACCATCCAAATATGTTATACATAGCATGCTTTCGGCCACTTAGAAAGACGCGAGCCGCGTGTTGGAGATTCCTGATCTACCTAATTAATTTGCGTTCACATCACAAAGTACACCACATGTGTCCAAACCCATAGCCTAACCTAACCAAAAACTCATCACCCTCCACGTCTTTAGTTCAGCTGCATAAAAAACTCGCTCCAATCACATCACTACCGTCCCCAGATTCATCAGATAACTCAACATCGCATCTGAACTCATCCAAGTTCATAAAGTTGCTCAACGTAACTTTTTGAACTTAAGAGGGCGCGGTGCCTCTATTCATTCGTCTGTTTTAGCTACCAGATGGCGCGCGGCTCGTAACGTGGTTGAACGTGCAACTTCTAGATGGCGCCAGTCTCGAAGTGTGAAAAGACCCGCGTTATCCGCTGCGTAATATAGATCCCCGTAATTTGCCGTGTTCTCCCGGCGGAGGAAATTTCTTCCTCCCTCGCGCGCGCTTAGTATGTCTGTGGTCAGTCAGCTCAGTGTGCACTCCATCGGATGTCAGTGACAATACGCGCGGTGTGGTGCAGTGGGTGGCGCTCGTTTCTGTTCGAAGGTAGGAATAACAATGTCGGTCCCTTTTTTTACGACGTTCGTTTCTATACATTTTTTTTTTTTTATCTCAAGTGACCTACAGTACCGCCTCTTCGAAATCGTCCTTTGCGGCGAGCGATTAAGAATCTGGTTAGCATTCTATTTTGGTTAGCACTACACGTGCAATGAAGACCTCGGGCGGCGATGTAAATATGTATTGCTCCCCAAAGTGTGTCCAAGGTGCGCAATGACAATTGGAAATGACGCGACCGTCGGTTGGTAAAATACGTGCGTTAGATTCACTTATTCAGTCTACTCATTTCTGCCAACATCTTTTATTTGTTTCGACAAATGGCATGGTCGAGTCTATTGATAACCTTCGCTAGATTAGACGTACGGAGTGTCCGGGCTTTAAATAAATTTGCTTCGTTTATCTGAATGAATAACTGTTTTCTCTTTTCTGTGCTCGGTGCTATACAAAAATCGCGTAGATGTTATGGTAGCGTAGTGTGGCGGCGTTTTGCACGCTGACTCGCTATTGCATTCGCTGTGCACAATATGTGTTCAGATGGAATGTGTCAAATAGTATTTACGATCGATATGATAGATTTACTTTGCTACAGTGTTAAATATTTTCCCGATTTAAACTGGTTCGTCCCTGATCTGAGCCTAAGTTCAAATTCAAAGGGCAGACAGACTTAGCGTCGTAACAGCCGTAATGCCCAGAAAGAAATTAGTACCATGAAAGAAAGACAAAAGGATACGGGGTGGCTCGGTGTTATAGAAGTAATGAGTGTGCAAAGGATGCCATCGTACGTTCTTTTTTTTTTTTAACTCTTCGCGTCGCTGGGAAACCCTCAAGGTACCAGCAAAGACAGCGAGTTGGAGCTGGCGTGAAATTTCCATCGAGCGGAAAACGAGTGTCGCTTTCATTTCATCATGCGCTTTCATTTTGATATGGCTCAAAATGCGCGCGAAATAGTAACAGGTAAGGCAACAAAATTTAGATGTTAGGTCTGGAACAGCGCCATACTCAGCCGCGTTGGGGGCATCTCTCGCGAGTCAATACGTCAAAGGTATTTCGCGTCGAACTGTACGTGAGTTATTTATTTCAGCGAAGCCTTGATTTCGCAAGACTGTTGTGCGTTAGAGATATCCATCATGTTAATCTGGCATGACTATACCCTATCTCACTAGTTGCGTGCAGTACTTGGAAGCCACGAGCGAGGAATAAATGACAGTTGATTTTAAAGGACAATCACGACGTGGAAACCAATAAAAGATTCCCGATAAGATGAGAGATTCTCTTTCTCTTCAATTGCGTCGGTTACGCTCTCAATCCTGCACCTGTGGTAACACTGCAGGCTCCTAAAATCGTCTTCCCTGAAGAACACAGTAGCCTTTCGAATTGAGGGGTGCTACGCGAAAGCCAGCGACATGTCACGGGAACGAAGGCGAGGTGCTCCGGGCTATGAAAACGCTCCTGATCGCAACAACTTTTTTTTTTTTTTTTTTTGTCGAGGTGCAATTTTTTTTTGTCTAACTTGATACCCCATTAGCGCAAAAACTACCATAAACTAAAAATAAATAAATATTATATTTTATTTTCTGTTTCCAAACTGAAGGACCGAACCCCGGCGAACGCCCAAAAGAGGCGTTATCTACAAGATCCCCTGCAGTGACTGCCCAGCGTCCTACATTGGTGAGACCGGACGGAGGAGAGATACCAGACTCAAAGAACACAAGCGTGACGTCACGTACGCATCCCAAGCGACCCGACTGAAGACAGAACTGGCGGACCATGCGTGGACAATGGGGCATTCTTTCGACTTTCCTGCCGCGATGACCTTGGCGAGGAAGGACAGATTCTAGGAGCCTAGAAAGCTCCTAGAATCGTGGTTTGTTCGCAGGGACACATCCGTGTGCAACAAAAACCGCGGCCCTCTCCAAGAAGCCAACACGGACATTCGTAATAAATAGCGTTGACTTGTGGTTGAATCATGCATTTGCTGTGTAACTACTGGTGATGCCTCCCACATGGGAGGCGAAACGTCTAATCAAATGTTTTTTTTTCTGTTATGTCAAGTCGGTGTTCTTATTTTAATTATAAATAAAATAGTGGGCATTCAACGACAACGCACCCACTGGGACCCGAGTCAAGGCAAGAACAGCTAACTACTAAAAGGGGAAAGAAATCTGGGACCGGACATTTCATCGAACGCCGTTTCGTCGAACGCCATTTCGTCGAACGCCATTTCGTCGAACGCCGTCTTGTCGAACGCCGTCTTGTCGAACGCCGTCTTGTCGAACGCCGTCTTGTCGAACGCCGTCTTGTCGAACGCCGTCTTGTCGAACGCCGTCTTGTCCAACGCCGTCTTGTCCAACGCCGTCTTGTCCAACGCCGTCTTGTCCAACGCCGTCTTGTCCAACGCCGTCTTGTCCAACGCCGTCTTGTCCAACGCCGTCTTGTCCAACGCCGTCTTGTCCAACGCCGTCTTGTCCAACGCCGTCTTGTCCAACGCCGTCTTGTCCAACGCCGTCTTGTCCAACGCCGTCTTGTCCAACGCCGTCTTGTCCAACGCCGTCTTGTCCAACGCCGTCTTGTCCAACGCCGTCTTGTCCAACGCCGTCTTGTCCAACGCCGTCTTGTCCAACGCCGTCTTGTCCAACGCCGTCTTGTCCAACGCCGTCTTGTCCAACGCCGTCTTATCGAACGCCGTCTTATCGAACGCCGTCTTATCGAACGCCGTCTTATCGAACGCCGTGTTATCGAACGCCGTGTTATCGAACGCCGTGTTATCGAACGCCGTGTTATCGAACGCCGTCTTATCGAACGCCGTCTTATCGAACGCCGTCTTATCGAACGCCGTCTTATCGAAC